CTGTGTTCTCAGCCGCCTCTGCCCCCCTCCCCCCGCTCAGCCGAACACACGGGTCTAATCCTTCGGGGCCGGAGAATGGGGGATGGGCATTCGGGCAAGGCAGCTTCCAACGCTTGCACGACCGACGCCGATCACCCTCCGGCGTGTGCGTGCGTGTATGCGTGTGTGTGTGTGTGTGTGTGTGTGTGTGTGTGTGTGTGTGTGTGTGTGTGTGCGGAGCGCAGTTGTAGCCGCCCCCAGGCGCTGGCGCCGGTCGTGCGCGCGCGCGCGCGCGCGGCGCGGGGCCTTGGCCACGCTGCGGCGCGCGAGTGCCGACGGACGCACACATCATCGTGCGACCTGCGGCCCACCCAGTTCGGGCCACCAGAGCACGGGTCCTCGGGCTTGGGAGGGAGACCGGCCAGGGGAGGGCGGGGGGGGGGGGGGGACCGCGGGCACGGCCGGGGCATATGCTCCTGGACCCGGGCGATCGCCCGCCCCCGTGCACCCTGCCACCGCGCGCAGGGGGCGGAGAGGGGGGCAGCGAAGAGCCCGGGGGGGGGGGGGACCGCAGCCGGGAGATCGCCGCCCGCTCGGCCTCCCCTCCGTGCACCGGCGTTCATTCCCTCGCCTCGCCTGGTACACCGGCCGCGCTCCCCCGACTCTCGGGGGTCTGCCAATGAACGGCGGAGCTCCATGCCAATAGCGTGGATTTGTTCCCTGACCGCGGCTCGGCGGGCTCTCTCGTCAAGGCGGCGGGGGAGGAGTTCACCCGCCCCCGGGCGACGAGCCCCGGACACGCCTCCGCCCGGGCGCACAGACGAGCATGTGTGTGTGCGTGTGCGAAGGGGGTGGCGGTGGTGGCGGCGGTGACGGCGGTGTTTCGCCTCTGCAGGCGATCGGCATAGGCCTAAAGGAACCGGGCCAGTCACCGCCTGGGGCTGGCGTTTCCTCCCCCCGCGCGCACACAGGTCATCCCCTCCCCGCTGACCTCCCCTTCCCGCTCCTCGTATGTCTCGGACCCTGCCCTTGCTTGCCCCCCCCCC